TAATCTTTTATTATGGAAGCCTTTTTTTATATATAATCTTTTATTATGGAAGCCTTTTTTTATATATAATCTTTTATTATGGAAGCATTTCTTATATATAATCTTTTTATGGAAGCCTTTTTTTATATATAATCTTTTTTAGGAAGCCTTTTTTTATATATAATCATTTTTATAGAAGCCTTTTTATATATATAATCTTTTTCATGGAAGCCTTTTTTAGATATAATCTTTTTTATGGAATTCTTTTTTATGTATAATCTTTTTATGGAAGCCTTTTTTATATATAATCTTTTTCATGGAAGTCTTTTTTTACATATAATCTTTTTTATGGAAGTCTTTTATATATAATCTTTTATGGAAGCCTTTTTATATATAATCTTTGTGGAAGCCTTTTTATATATAATCTTTGTGGAAGCCTTTATATATAATCTTTTATTATGGAAGCCTTTTATATATATAATCTTTTATGGAAGCCTTTTTATATATAATCTTTTTATGGAAGCCTTTTTATATATAATCTTTTTCATGGAAGTCTTTTTTTACATATAATCTTTTTCATGGAAGTCTTTTTTATATATAATCTTTTTATGGAAGCCTTTTTTTATATATAATCTTTTATTATGGAAGCCTTTTTTTATATATAATCTTTTATTATGGAAGCCTTTTTTATTATATAATCTTTTATTAAGCCTTTTTTATATATAATCTTTTTCATGGAAGTCTTTTTTTACATATAATCTTTTTTATGGAAGTCTTTTTTATATATAATCTTTTTATGGAAGCCTTTTTTTATATATAATCTTTTTTTAGGGAAGCCTTTTTTTTATGTATAAATCATTTTTATGGAAGCCTTTTTATATATATAATCTTTTTTATGGAAGCCTTTTTTTATATATAATCTTTTTAGGGAAGCCTTTTTTATATATAATCTTTTTATGGAAGCCGTTTTTTTTTACATCGCTACGAATATACTTATTTGTCTTCCCACATTCGAGTATTATTTATGGTAACACTCAATAGGGCAAAGTAAAATCTTAAACCTCATAATTACAGATTATTTTAAACACTCCAATGAGTTGTGATAGATATTCGTTTAAAGAACTTTCTTACAAGAGTTTATTAACCAATAAACTGGAAAACCTATTACTTTTGTTCGATATTTTGGATGAGTACGTTTGATCCAACAAAAAGCTTTTTATGTAACTAGTAAAAACCCAGATCGAAAATCGCTGTATACGTAATTGGCTACGTGACGTCACCGAATGAGACTACTACTCTCTCCTGTCATTCCAAGATGGCTGCAATACGATGAGAGCTTGTGAATAGACTCGTTGCTGATAAGAAGAACGAGCCATTTTTCTGCGAATTCAGTTCAAAATTGTAATTCTATCGGTTTTTGTTGATAATACAGTCTGCGTAAAGGGTACTTGTTCAACTTTTATAAGGTAAGTTTTTCCTACTGACTTGTTAATGTCCTGTCGTGAATGGGGGGAGGGGGTGTACTAGGCACATAGTACAACGTTCTGCTTGTTTGCGCGAGCCACGTAGTTGAGAGCTATGACGGAGCCGTGGTTGCCGTTACGAAACTCTTCCCGACGGTTGTCACGCTTGGTAGGTGCTCGGTCAGTGATTGCGGTAAGCCATTCGCGAGGGTAATGTCTGTTCACGTGCGGATAAGAATGAGGGGTTCAGAGAAAGAGGTAATTTGACGTGCATTTTGTAGAATGTGTTGGGAGGTGGAGTTTCTGATAACCATGCTGTAGCGTCAAATGTTTAAGGTTTAGAAACATACAGATTTACAAAAAGTTCTGGGAGATATATATACTCCAATTACGTAAACAAAAATCTTAGATCGTGAAACAAAAGTATGGTAAAATCTCACTCGGGCCAGTAGGATATTTAGCGGCAGTGATATTCGTTAAAAATGATATAAATATAGCATTGAACACCAATCATTTCAACATTACTTATATATGATTGTAACCTCCAAGCAGGATACTGAAACTTGAAAGTAACACATATCATTAACAATGTATAAGATGTAGGAATACAACGTAACTTCAATATGTAGTTACGAGCCCTAGTTTATAGATAAGAACTGTTTAAGGTGTAACCATATAACCAAACTTCAGTATGTATACATAGATACGAACTGCTTAAAGTGTAATGGTATAACGTAACTTCAGTATGTATACACAGATACGAACTGTTTAAAGTGTAATGGTATAACGTAACTTCAGTATGTATACTGTATACAGTATGTGTTCAGTATGTATACATAGATACGAACTGTTTAAAGTGTAATGGTATAACGTAACTTCAATATGTATACATAGATACGAACTGTTTGAAGTGTAATGGTATAACGTAACTTCAGTATGTATACATAGATACGAACTCTTTAAAGTGTAATGGTATAACGTAACTTCAGTATGTATACATAGATACGAACTCTTTAAAGTGTAATGGTATAACGTAACTTCAATATGTATACATAGATACGAACTGTTTAAAGTGTAATGGTATAACGTAACTTCAATATGTCTACATAGATACGAACTGTTTAAAGTGTAATGGTATAACGTAACTTCAATATGTATACGA